TCGTAATCTTAAGATTAAAGGAAAAAATCAGAAGAAGTAAATGACAAAGAGAGCATCAGAACAAACAGGCAAAGGGTCAGGAAGTGGGCTTCACTAAGTGGAACAAAAATACCAGGTGGAGGAAGAAAGCAGTGAAAGAGACCAACAGGTCACGCTGACTCCGTTGAATAGTGTTTGAACTGACTGATAAGAGCCGAGTTCTTTTATACAGAAAAAGGGAGACTGATGACAGGACTTGAAATGTAGCAAAAGTAGAAAAGTGAAGTTTTTCTGCACCGTTCCACTGCAGTGAATCACCACAGAGATAAGAGGGTAGCGAAAAGAAGAAACGTAACAGAGTATGTATGTACACTGTAGATACGGAGAAGCATCAGGTAGTATTAGAAATGACCTATAGAGAATAAGCCACGTTGTTTCTGTTACAAAGAGGCTGGTTCATTCATTCAACAAATACAAGTAATATCATATATACATGTGTATTTTGCTAGGCATTGGGAGGGATACAAACACACAATCTTTGCCTTCAGGAATTTATAATCCTGAGAATGTATTACCAAAACTAGTAAGTGTCCCATGGGTAGTTCAAAACTAACTACTACAGGATCTTAGATGTAAACAGTCTCACTTCCAGGGTGACTGGGGTAGAGGTGGGAGGTAGCAGGATCAGAGTTCTTAAAGGATGAATAGAATTTCATAGGCTGGAGATGAAGGGAGGATGGGATTCAAGTGGGCAGAACAACCTGTGGGTTGGCTGGAAAACACGTACAAGGAGTGAGATAGAAGAACAGAAAGAAGATTGCAGCCAGACTATAGCAATATTAGTCTTCAATTAACAAATATGAGTATGCACATATTTGAGAGTGCTTTTCAAATTTTTAATCTACCGTGAAGTTTCCTAGCAAAAGGAACCTGACTTTGAAATCAATTCCACAACTGCAGAAGAAAACCATTCCTTAACTTAGAAAGTGAAAAAAAAACAACCAGTTCTACTGAAAGAGGCCAGATAGGCAAAGAGTGAACTAGCTGGATGTCCTCAAAATGGTCACAACAGAGGCACTGCTAGTGAAAACTCATTTTCTTGCCAATGTACTTTAACCCAATCCAGGAAGACTAGCTTTTCAGAGACGAGTTCAGACACTATTGCTAAATCAAACTTTGGCTTCTACACAAGAAGTATCAAATCTGATTTTGGTGCTTCACATCTTTTAATTTAAATAAGCCCAGAAAAAAACACCAAACTCAATCCAATCAAGCTAGTGGACTTCAAACCTTACCTTATACTGAGTCACTAAACATTTATTTATTTGAAGTTTTCATTACTATTTCACACTTAGTTCCTCTTTATAGTACTAAGTAAAAAATCTTAATACTCCATTTTAATATAAGCAGACAACTGAAGGGGAGAAACCCTGAAATAAGTTGTCCCACATTATTTCAACTTGTGCCTCTGTTTACTCATTTGAATAGGATAGTTATTTTATGTGTCAATGTGACTGAGTCATGGTGCCCAGATATTTATCAAACATTATTCTGGATGTTTCTGAAACAGTACTTTTGGATAAGATTAACATTTAAATTGGTGGCCTCTGAGTAAAGCAGACTACTCTACATAAAATGTGTGGGCCTTATCCAATCAGTTGAAGGCCTTAAAAGAGCAAAGACTGACCTCCCTTGAGCAAGAAGACATTCTGCCAGCAGACTGCCTTTGGACTCAATTGCAACTCTTCCCTTGGGTCTCCAGCCTGCTAGCCTACCTGCAAAATTTGGACTTAACAAAGCCTCTACAACTGCCTGAATGGATTCCTTAAAGTCAATCAATCAATCTCAGTGTGTGTGTGTGTGTGTGTGTGTGGGTGTGTGTGTAAAAAGAGAGAGACACAGACACACACACACACACGCATTCTATTGCTCTGGAGAACTCGAATATGTACGGTAATGCCAGAACTGTGGACTGTTAGTCAAAATATTTTCATTTCCTAAAGAGAGGAGAATAAAAGAAGAAAGGGAGAAGGGGAAGAGTAGTCAAAGGAAAAAACAAAACTAACTTAAAACATATGCCTTTGTTCTTATTTACTGCTTCTTACAACAAACAGATTAAGTATTAAGCAAACCAATTTACACATAAATTTAAAAGTATGGCATGGGTTAATAATTTCACAAAAATAAATATTGCAGGTGTTTCCTTTCTTGCCCATTCTCTACTAAGGGTAAAAATATACCCTTATTACCACCTTCAGCCCAACAAGACTTCCAGAATTATTAAATCTCTATTTCCCTTTAAGGATGACAGACCCCAATTACTCATCTGCTACTATGTGAGGATTAATAGTGACAAAATTAATCTTTATTTATTAAATAGAACTATTAACTGTTAAAGTTCAACTGTACATATCAAACAAAGGACTTCATAACTCTACCATCTCACCTAGTATTTCTATTAAAAATAAAACCAATTTTATTGAAGGACAACTTCAATAATTTTCTGGGGTATTATTAAAATGGTGTTTTTAGTGAGTTGTGCCAATTATTCACCTTACTATGAAGTTTCTTGTGGCAAGACAACAACTTAAACATTTGGTCCAATTCATAAATTATAAATTTATGGAGATCTGTTAAGGTCCATATTGCCATTTCATCTAACCTTACTGAAAAGGAGCAAAGAATATAATTATTAATCATATTTGTTCCTATAGGGTAAATAGCTCATCTGCAAATAACAAATATTTGAGAAGGGGTTAAAAAAAGTCACATTATACAGCTTCTGAATAATGTTCTTCAGAGTAAATAGTTTATTTCCATATATATTAGTACCTTATATAGCTGTCATTAGAGACCATTGAGACATCAAAACTCCAAAATTTAGTTTTCGGTTGCCAGAAAGGTGGCATTTTTAACATACAACAATAATGACTCTTTCCTTCAAGAACTGAAAACCAGTTCAAAAGGTAGTCACCGGAACCCGTAAGATCCAGACTAGGGGTAGAGGGTATCATTTTAATGGCATAATGGTTCACTGGGCCTCTGTGTGCCTGCAATGTGCAGAAGGGTGAGATGTTTAGAGAAAGCACAAAGAAGTCATAAACAGACAATACAGGAAATTGCGCTTCAGAAGGGAAATCAAAGGAGGTAGCAGCAGACAACAACAGACTAGAGTCTGGAAAATATTTTGGATAAACATACTACTGAACAGACAGCAGTGGTATATCAAGAGCAGTAGAGGAGGGGGGGTGGTTTGCCTCAGTGAACAGGAATATTTTATCACTAACATTGTTCAGAATTGCCAGTATATGGTGACAATAAAAAGTCACTACTTTCAGTGCCTTTCATTACTAGTTTTAAATCCCCTATGGACAGTGCGTGCCTTTGCTGCCTGCATCTAGGGTGCACTGCTCCCACCCCCCATCCAACTCAGTGTACCACTGACAGAGATTCTGCAGTGATCCGTTCTACATTATTTCTATGTCAAAGAGAACTTGTTTAAGTGGCATCAACCGAAAGAACATTCCCAAAAAAGAGATCACAGAAATTATATCACAGAACTATTTTTGCTATTGCAGTTAATACTACTGTAAGGGTTCAAGTATATTATACATTAACATAAAAACAAATACTTGAAACTTAAGAACTTAAAATTTTTGAAAATCAGTTTGTATTTATCCACTAAACATACATATTTTAATGATGAAAAATAATTTACAATAAAAAGAAAATGTAGCATTATCTTAGCATAATTAACTCTAGGGGAAAATGTCCTTTAGCCAGATTTCATTCTTTTAGAGATCATTAAGGTCAGTAGCTCATAAGTAGTAATAGCTGTTCCCTAAGTTGACTCCACCTCTAAATCCTGAAATTTATTTTCAGCTTCATAAAGAGCCGAAGAATTTGTCTTATTTCTGTTCTATAAATCCATTGCTTGTAAATTAAATATTGTAATTCTATTACAAATAAAGTTTGCGTAAGGAAAAAAGTACATTCAACCAAGTTTCTGATCTGTTGTTAGTCCCAGTCTAAATGCTTTCTAGGTATGAGAAATGGAGATATAACTACCATTTCAAGGATATTTACTGAAGATAGATGAAAGAACTAGAAACTATGACACTGGAGCACGTGACCTGAAGGCCAGAGACTGAATGCATTAAATACAGAGCAGCTTGGGAAAAATAGCTGCATGAGGGGCAGATCAGCTGCACCTCAGAGCCTGGAGGGTGTTGCCCCACGATGTACACATATAATTAGAGAAACAAATCATCATTTCCAGCATTGTTTCTAATTGTTTGAAATGAAGGCACTGTTATAACCTTACTACAGTTACTACCTTAACAAAGAAAAGAACAAAAGCACATGTAATTATGCAATAAGAAAAAGGAATTTCAGATTTAAATAATTTAAATCTATGAAGATTTAATGAGCAATGAACAATTTAGTGAGCAATTGATGTTAGATGGGTTTTTAAAAAGGCATAAACTATTCTGCCATGTAAAATAAAAATAAGAAAGCTAATTTCTGAAGTTCCTAAATTCCCAAAAATGTAATGTACTCAATTGTGATTAATAAAGATTACTGGCCCAAAGACTGCTACTGACATAGTGGGTTTAAAAAATGAGCAGGTTGAATTAACATCTCCTCTTCTAACATGTTAACTTAGTATATAGCAGACTACAAAGTTTTATTTTCAAGTCATTCATAAATATATCAATTTCTAGAGTTTACCTGGCATGTAATAATCAAAATAAAGCAAGCCAATGCTTTATTTACAGACTTAAAAGAAAACAAATGCACTCTCTTTAACCTCTTTAGTAAACACCAGTTAGTGTATGTCAGAGAAGCAAGATTCATTACATATAAAGCCCAAGGCTAGGCTACGTTTTGAGGTTGTAGCACCCCAAATCCCTCTGTAAGGTTCTCAGGCCTATATAGCACTGATACCTACAGACACCTACATATACCATCCAACTATAAATGCATCTTTCTAACTTAAACCTAACTACGTATCAACTTACCAAATCCCTGTGCAACACCCAGTTAGCATGCAGGTAGTGAATCCCATCTAGGATCTGATATAATAGTGACTTCACCATTCCCCGAGGTAACTGAACTGGCTTCTTGTTTGCTTTAGAAGCTCTGTGAAACTTGATTATATGCTGGAAGAAAGAAAAATATCACCAGAAGCTTTAAAAAAGAAAAGAGGGAAAGATAATTGATGTATAATATTTTCCTAACAGAAAAAGAAATACTCAGGGATTCCCACAGATATTGAAAATGTAATTTCACATTCTGCTGGATAATATAAATAAGTTAAAGTTTCTTAATAACTGGAGTTAAAATTTCATTTCCTAAGTATACGACAGTGTCTCAGAAAATAAACAATTACTACACAGAAGTAGGAAGTAATGTGACTTTATTTTTAGAATATAATTAAAATTACTTTCAGAGTATACTTGGCTCCTGTTTATCTAGTGGAAATTTTCAAGAACAGAATTTTTTTGCTCTATAGGGATTAAATGAAAAAAAATGTCAAGAGCTACTGCTAGCTGACTGACAGCACAGATGTGGTATCTATTTATGATAAAAGGGTTATAAAGAAATAGGGAAATATGTCAATAAAATACATGAGCACAAAGAAATAACATAAATGATCAGTTTACACTGGAAATACTTAGAAATATGAAAAATTCAGATGAGGAAAAAAAAACAGCCTTGTATGATCCATCAAAGCTTTCTAGGTGTAGTGTTAGTGCACATCCAGTAAAACACAACGCGACTTTATAAACAGAAAAATCACTTTATAAATAAATGTACCTCAACAGAAACAAGATTCAATGTTTCGAACTCTCATGACAGGTTTCTTCATTTTAATTAAAGTACTTACACTGCAAGAACATCTCAAAGGCATATGCCTGGTACCTGATATGCACAAGAGCAGACTCTTGACCAGCATTTGTGAGTGAATATTAAGCATATTTTTAAATCAGTAAACATAATTAAAACAGAAGTGAGATATTTAATATTATAGGTTAATATGTTCACTTCCTATTTGCTTATAATATAGAAAGTAGAATATAGATAGAAAAAGAAAACTAATGATTAATGAATGAAGAAGTTTTACTTTCCAAAGAAAAAAATACTCAGCAAAGACTACCTGGTGGGGAGGTAAACCATATCAGTCAGCATGTATTTAGTATGATTAATCTATACTTTATTAGCAGCATTATATTATCCTGATTTTCTTCTCATTTTTCAAAGTATTTAAGAGCAGACAAACAAAATAGAGCTACAACTCCTAATAGCCTATAATGATTCATCACCTATCTTAAGAAATGATGTGACTGTCAAGTCTGTTCACCTTAAGAAGAGCTGGTGGCTCTCAGAACTTAATAAAAATGTATTAAAATACATTTGTTTTAAAAATTAAAACTTTCCACGGTAAAGATGAGAGGAACAAAAATGCAGAGGAAGTAAGATAATCATTTGATGCCCTATATACTTCCTCAGTTAACACTTCCATTACGGTGTTACAAAGTATATTTTTTACGAATATTTGATTACTACAAAAAACTACAGTGGGGGAATTGATTACCTTCATTTTATTCCAGGGCGGTATACATACCATGAAATTTCACCAACACCTAAATGATTTTTAAAAACAACTGTTTTTACTGCAACTAAATGTTTCTGTTACCCTCTGCTGCCTTATCCCAGCTAATTCACTTCAGCATTTCAATTAAAAAAAGAATAGAGGGATAAAGGGGAAGTCTTAAGTAAACTGAATTATCACTTGGTTTCTATTAAAATGAACATTAAAAGTACCTATTTGGCTTAAATGAGTATTAATAAGATGATAAAGCCAGTGATGACTATCAATATACATCTGGCAACATTACATGTAGCATAATTTGCAAAAATACAATTATTATATCTACATGTCCAAATAAATATTACATACTAGCCTGGAAAAAATCATATTGAATGCAATATTATCTTCTATGCTCAACTATGTTTTATTAAAAATTTTGTTTATAAACCAATTTGGAGAATTTCTCATAAATTTGGACTGTATTAATTTTATTTCATGTTATGCTTTTTGATTCAATAAATATTGGCCACCCTGATTTAGTTAATTTTTATTAACAGAATTCTAATTTGATTGCATTGGACTTCTTTTAAAAGAATAGACTCCAGCAAAGAAAGAAAAAATATTTACAACTGGCATGGACCTTGAACAGCAGTTTCATAAAACAGAAATTTCACGTATCTACTTTCTGTTTGAAAACAATTCTTTCTAGATAATTTACAGAAACAGTTTGAATCAAAACACATTTAGTCATGGAAAAAATCAATCTACAGAGTGAAAATATTTCTTTTAAACCTGAAAGCACTATGAAGCCCAGATAAGTTTCAATGTCTGAAATCTGTTCAGTTAAAATTATGTAAAAGATGCTAATTCTGGAAATTAGCAAAAGCGTTTGAAACTATTTTGCTATTTTCAGGTGAACTTACTTTTAAACAGTGTCACTGGAATTTGTGCTAATTTTATTACAAAATTTTGTATTTGCATTTACACACTACAGTTGAATGAAAAACGTAAATAATTTTGGAAATTTCTGAAATTGAGCCAAGGTATAATTCCTTGCATGTCAGCACTGACAGGTCCCAATTTTTGATGGTTTGACTTGGAATTTTTTAACTTTATGATGCTGCATAAGTGACAAGTGACACGCATTTGGTTGAAACCATACTACAAATTTTGGATTTGGATCTTTTGACAAGCTAGCAATATGCTGTAGGACACTTTCTCATGACACTGGGAAACGGCAGTGACTCATAGCTTCCGGTCAGCCAGAGGACCACGAGGGTAAACAACCGATACACTTCAAACCATTCTATGCCCATACAACTATTCTTCATTACTTTCAGTACAGTATTCAGTATATTACATGAGATATTTGACGCTGTATTATAAAATTGGCTCTGTGGTAGAGGATTCTGGCCCAACAGTAGGCTAATGTAAGTGTTCTGAGCACGTTTAAGATAGGCTAGGCTAAGCTCTGATGTTTGGTAGGTAGGTTAAGTGTAGTAAATGTATTTTCAACTTACAGGTTTACTGGGGCATAACCCCATTGTAAGCAGAGGAAGATCTGTCTTCTCTTTTACTTAATAAATACACAGCAATGCTAATTTAGTGAATACCAGTATGCAGAACAGTGAAATTTTAAAAATCTTATTATTTAAGTATTAGAAAAAATATAGCTCACAGTAACGAACTAGTTATTAATGAATTAACTAAATGTAATACTGAGGGTTGTTTACTTGTTTTGTTTTTAAGCTAATAAGCTAACCTGTGTTAGCATGTTCTTTACACAAGACTGATCAAGATATGTTTTTGAGTATATTTCAAAATTATTTCGGTTATCCTGTTATAGATTTTCATTATATAAATCACGAAGTCTTATACCCAAGATGGTATTTCAGATATTTTAAAAACACTACTGTTGTAGTTAATAAAGGAGTAAATTTATAGTTAACTAAGACTTTTGTAAATACCAATGTTAAAAACAAAATTTTCTGAATAAATGCAAAAGAGTGTTTGTGTTTCAGCTGTTTAGACAAGATAAATTTAAATTCTTAGTTTTTATTAACTTTTTATCATTATAGCATCATTATTTCCCATTATATTAGCTAAACTAATAAACTGTAATTACTTGACTTCAAAAATCTTCAAATATTTAATTGGGTCTGGGATGTAAAAATATTATCACAGTCCAGACAAACACAAAATAACTAAAAGCAATAACAGAATCTATTTTCATGTCAATCTCATTTTATCACAGAGCCCCCTTCCAACAAATTCTTCCTCTACAAGAATATGCCCCATTCAAATAAGTACAATACTGAATTTCTGCTGATGAAAATAAGAAATATCTAGATTCTGAATATCAATGGTATATGACATCCAATAAATGATTAACAATAGTTTTCTACATTTGCATTGTATACTTAATTTATAAAGCTTTTCAAAAACAAAATTGTTCTTCAGAAAAATCCTATAAAAAAGCAGAAATACTACATTTTACAGATGGGGGAAATTACCGCTTCAGAGCCATTAAGAAACTTGCTTAACTTCATATAACAAATAACAGAATGATTAGATAGGTCTCAGTCTTGTCTTCCAAATATAGCATATTCATTTTCCAACAATATGATACCACCTTCTCATTTTATATTCCTTTATACTACAGAATAAAAGGGAATATGCTGCATTTAAATTTTAAAACAAAACAGTTATTGGTTACTTTTTTTGCCTTATCAAAAACCTATACCAAGGAAACAATGTTATATAGTTGTTCACACTCCTCAGCTTCTATTGTTTTCTGCAGTATGCTACAATGGTCGAACTGGTAAGATCATAAAATATCTAACAGCAAAATATTCTAGACTTGGTAATTTATCAACCACATTTTATAAGGGTACTTTTATTTTTAAAAAGTAAACATACATATACTCCTGAAATTGTTTTCATTCACTCCTAATCCCCTACTGAAACCAGTGGTTCCATGTCTACTGGCAATTCACCTTACCCAGAGGTCATGTTCAGCATAGTCAAACAGAAGCCATACTTTCCTATCAGCATGAGACAAAAACACCTTTTGAAGAGAGATGACATTTGGATGCTTAAGCTCTCGAAGTAACTGAAAAACAAAGGAGATTGATTAAAAATCTTTGCCATAAAAATATTTAAAACACCGTTTGTAATTCAAAGGCCACACAAACCCAATGGTAATCAATCCTAAAAAGGTATTAGGTGCCACAGAGTTTTGAGATGTCCATACAGATGCTTCAGTAACAAATGAGGAAAAATGCGGAGAACAGATACTGAAAAGATATAACTGAGTAAATCTATTTTGTTCATTTCTTAGTTCATTTTTAGTTCATACTGTTTAGTACATTTTAATTTTAATTTTTTTCTTGTAAAAAAATAAGAATTACCATTTTAACAATTTTTATTTCAGTGTACAACTCAGTAGCATTAAGTATACTCACAATGTTGTACAACCATCACCACCACCCATTTTCCAACTTTTTCACTCATCTAAATGAAACTCTGGGCCCATTAAACAACAACGCTCCATTTCCCTCCCCCCCTCAGCCTCTCGTAACCTCTATTCCACTTTCTGTCTCTATGAATTTGCCTGTTCTAAATACCTCATGTAATTAGAATCAAACAGTCTTGTCCTTTTGTATCTGGCTTATTTCACTCAGCATAATGTCTTTTAGGTTTATCCATGTGGTAACAATGTGTCAGAATTTTATTCTTTTTTATGGCTGAATACATTCCATTGTATGGACATACCACATTTTATTTATCCATTCATCTGCTGATTGTTCCACAGGTCGTTTCTACATTTTGGCTACTGTGAATAATGCTGTTATTAACTTTGGTGTACTGGGACCTGAGTCCCTGCTTTCAATTTTTTGTGTAAATACCTAGGGGTGGGGTTACTGGATCACATGATAATTCTATGTTAACTTTTTGAAGAACCACCAAACTGGTTTTTACAGCAGCTGTACTACTTTCCATTCCTATCAGCAATAAATGAGGATTCCAATTTCTCCACATTCTCACAAATAGTTATTTTCCTTCTTTTTAAGTAACAGCCACAACCTAATAGGTATGAAATTTCTTATTGTGGTTTTGATTTGTATTTCCCTAATGACTAATGATGTTCAGCACCTTTTCATGTGCTTACTGGTCATTTGTACATTTCTTTGAAGAAATGTTTGTTTAAGCCTTTTGCCCATTCTTTGAACTGGGCTGGTTTTTTGCTGTTGAGTTGTAGTTTTTTATAATCTTATCTCTAATTCTACTAGTTGTCTGTGTTTTGACATCACAAAATAATTGAACTCAATTAAATCTGCTGCTTATTATTCTTAGGAAAAAAACTAACCAACTGCAACATTAGAAAATACAACATGCATTAAAAAAAATTATCAGATGAGAATTAACATGTGTAACTCTGTGAGATATACCTATTTTTTCCCCAGGCATTTAAACTATATAATCAAGTTGATGAATATTTTGTAAGTTTTTCATAAAATAGTAACCTATACAGATAGAAGCCTACACATATAACACACTTTCATGGGTTTATTAACCTTTCCCATTTCCTAGAACATTTTTCTATTTAAAATCTTTTATCTCCTTATTTATTTTCATCTAATAACCAAAGTGGCCCTAGTAATCTATCAGTTATAAAAGTGTTTCCACTCTGCCAAGCAAAAACAAAACACCACCAACAATGACAGGAAAAACTTCTCATGAAGCCTTATGTGTTACCAGTTAGCTGACTTACACAGCGCCTTCCAAAAGTGTTCCGAACACATTGACAGTCATGTGGAGAAGTGAAGGTCTTAGAACTTATGACTCCAGTACCTTTTAAAAGAATACTGCCACCAAAATAAGAATCAATACAAATGTCATGTTAACTAAATATTAGGGACTCTGAAATAAATTCAGCAAAGGAAAGACTATGAATGAACTATGTATTAAGTCACTTATAGCAACAATTATTCTCTGGAAGGTGTTAATTAATTTATTCAGGAGCAAGATTAAATCCAAGTTATGTATTTCTGCTTTTAGAATATCATTTCAAACTTACAAGACTTCAGAGATTATATACAAATCCTCAGAAGGCCGAGATCTAAGACTGACTGTTTCCTTATTAACAAATAAGGCCAAGAATCTGATAGGGAAAGCTTTCAGGGTTACCCAGGATCACCCAGCTGGCTGGAAAAGCTAGCTGTGGTGCTAAGGTCATCTCAGTTCTGGGTCAGTGTCTTCTCCATTACCTCATAACTGGAACACACTTTTCAGCTAGGCAGCTATTTCAATCCTTTCTGGAAACTGGCAGGGTAGAAATTACAACAAACAGGCTCCAAAGCTTTGGCAAAAGCTCTCTCCACGTATTAGAAATCTACATATACAGCTATTCTTAAGTATCTCCTGAATTACACTTCCAAGATGAGGTTTAGCTCCTGTATTAAAAAGAAAACAGCAGCAACCATTTTATTAAGTTCTTTCCAGGTGCCAAGTATGGCGCTAAGCATATGATCTCACTTAATTATGAATTACCCTATGAAATATTTATATTACTCCTATTTTATAAATGAGGAAAGTGTTTTAAGGAGATTAAATAACTTGCTCTAGGTCACATTCTTAGGTAATGCTTGGAATCAGGATTTAAATATTTTTAATTAATTAAGTTTTAAAATACAAAGCCAGTACTCTATGGTCTGATATCAATATCTCCTAAGACTAATATGTAGGGGGAATAGTCCTTAAAATCCACAGACACAGATGTTTTAAATGTGTATTAGGCTGTGAACCAGACAACGACCAGCACTGTATCTTGCTCATCATTGCACTGTTAGCTTCTTGCACGCTGTCTGGCATCTGGTAGGCACTAATTTTTTGATGAATATATAAATACATGAGTTCATGAATAAACAAAATACACCCTTTGGCTTCTGATCACTGTTTTAATCAATCCATTTCTTTAAATATAATAGCAGTAAGTGTAATTAACTGAATTGAGTTCTCCCAAAACTCATGTCAAAGCCCTGGCCTTCAGTACCCCTGAATGTGACTGCATTTGGAGATAAGGCCTTTAAAAAGGCAACTAAATTAAAATGAGGTCTTCAGAGTGGGCCCTAATCCAATCTGAATGACCTTGTAAGAAGAGATTAGGACACAGAAAGATCATAACAGTGTGCCCACCTGCAAACCAAGGAGAGGTTTCAGAGGAAACCAGCTCTTCAGGTGCCTTGATATTGGATTCATAAGAGCCTCCACCACTGAGAAAATAAGTTTCAGTTGTTTAAGCTGTCCAGTATGTGGTATTTTTTTATGGCAGCGGCAGCAAACTAATACAGTAAATAACCACTACTACTAAGTAAAACATATTATGTTGGGTGTTTGTGGTTGTTTTTAGATCTTATCAGGAGAAGGGCCACTGTAGGGTTTGAGATGGAACTGAGAGTCTCAGTGCGAAAGTGCCTCTAAGTAAATATTTACACTGAGGCACTTACAGAGGACCCAGAAGCCGTGCCACATTTAGCAGGGCTAACATTTACCAAATGCCTACTACATGCTGGACACTATGGTAGATGCTTTACTAGGTCCTGGGATATAAAGTGTGCTAGGACCTTCTGCTCAACTCCTCCAGTAGGAGACAAATGGCCAGGAAGGGGCCAATTCAAATTCTGTGACGGTAGTAGTGCTAACAGACATTTATTCAATAGCTAACATTTACCTAGAGTTTATTGTGCCTGAAGAAGTGTTCTAGGCCCTTCCCATAAACCCTATGAGATACTACCATTCCCATTTTACAAATGAGGAAACTAAAACAAAGGGATATTAAGTAACTTGCTTTGAATCCTACAAGCCAGTTAAGCAGTAAAACCAGGATAAGAGCTCAGATCACCTGGCTGTGGTCTTCGCTGCTACACGCAGCCGTGAGGCTGGCGCTCTGACACTAGAAGCATTCCGTTTTCCCGTCTGATGGACAGGACTTCAGGCTTTCGTCACCGCAGACAGAGCCCATAGCACGTAGATGCCTCTTCCTTAACAGTTTATGTTATTTTTTGCCTTTTTGAGGACTTTGTTTTAAAAATGTCTTAAAGGAAAGGTTTAAATAGATATATACAGTGGTGTCCATCAAAGAAACAACCTAAATTTCTCTAACTCTACTGGGAATAAAATCTTATTTCCTGAGTACTGAGATCACTAAAAATACAAATGTTTTAATACATCGTTCATTATAAATTTAATTCATTCCACTTGTGCCCAACAATATCACACTTAACCTGAACTCAAAGTACAAATAAAAAAAAAGTTTACAATTGTATCTTGTCAATAAATACCACTTACAGTGGCTGAGTGAGAATATAGGTAAGGAAACCTCTAAGAATCTCAACACAAAATTGATTTCTAACATTAAAATTTTACAAAAAAGCAAAAATAAATTCTAAGTTTATGCCATGAAGAGCACAGCTGAGTTGAAATTACTATAAAAGCATAAGGAAAATTTATTCCAAAATTATTTCAATTTTTTTTAAAGCGGTAGAAACTTTACTTGAAGTCCTGCAAATTGATTTTTTAAAAAACCTACGGTGTTAGATTAAAGTAGATGTGAGCTTTAAAAGTCAAGTCTAGAGCTTTACCTCTGCCCCCACAGTCCCCCTATTCCAGCTGTTGGAATAGATCCACTGAAGCAGTTTGAAAACTGCTAAGCTAAAAGGATTCCAGCTTATAGGAAATTCTGGAAATACAAAACAAACCACTTACAATGTAAAGACAATAAAGATATGCAGTGCTCTTATCTTGACTAAAAATTCTCGGAGTTCTTTTCTTCCCTCCCTATTATAATTATTGAGCAAAGAAAGACTCTATGTCAGACCTTGTACACACTGGCAAAGAAATGTGTTATAATCTACATGGGGTAGGGACAACACATAGTAAATGAGGAAACTAACAATCAAATAAAAAAGTAACTCCTTATAATTATAAAACAAAGTGGACGCAGCTCCTAAGAGAACAATGGAAGTGAGTGATGGGGAAGTTGGACTTCTTGAACAGAGGATTAAATAAATGGAAGGGGGAGTGGTCTGGTAAGACTTAACAAAAAGAGATGGGATTTTTCTTTCTTTTTGATTCTTTTCATAGATATTTCTTTCAAAAGCAAATAGAATAATAAATCTCAATGTATCACTATACAGTTACAGTCTTTCTCATTTTATTTATTTTCATACCCACTTGTCCCACCCCACCCTGTATTATTCTGAAGCCCCAGGAATATACAATTTCACCTATAAACATTTCAGTATATATTTCTAAAATATAGGGTCTCTTTTCTCTGACCACAATGGAAAAAAATTAGTAATCAGAACAATAAATTTTCTAGAAAGCCTCACATATTTAAAATTTAAATACATTTCTAAATTACCCTGAATAAAAGAAATCACCAAGAAAATTGAAAGTATTTTGTATTAAATGATAATGAAAATACAATGTAGCCAAATTTGTGGAATGCAAGGAAAATACACCTTGAAAGGAAAATTACACTTTCAATTGCTTATATTAGAAAAGAATAGTTTAAAAATCAATGACCTAAGGTTCCATCTTACAAAGATAAAAAAGAAATGTAAGCCAAAAATAAGTCAAAGTAAAGAAATAAAGAGCAGAAATCAATATAGACAGAAAATACAAATTACCAAATTGGCAATGATACAGAGACATCACTACAAATGCTATAAATGTGAAAAAATAATAAGGAAATATTAGGAACAAACATGTGCCAATAAATTCAGTAACTTTAATGAAACAAATTATATAAAAAGCACAACTTACCAAATACAATATGAAATATACAATCTGAAAAGCTCTTTACCTATTAAGGAAGTAATACTAATTGGTAAATTCTATCAAACATTTAAGGAAGAATAACTACAGATCATACAGAAACTGTCAGAAAACAGAAGATGAAAAAATACTGCCTAACCGTTTCATGAGAACAGCACAACCTTGACACCAAAGACAACGACATTACAAGAAAGACCAACATTCTTGAAACTTATAGGCCTATAACTCCTTAACAACACATTAGGAAATCAAGTCTAGCAATACATAACCAAGCAGGCATTATTTCAAGAATGCAAAACTGGATAAACATTAGAAAACTAATCAATGTAGTCTACCAATATAACAGAATAAGAGATACCTATATGATCACTTTATTACATGTAGAACAAAGCATCTGGAAAATTCAATACCATTTATGAAAAAATAGAAGGGAACTTCCAAGTTTGACTGATGGCACATATAAAAAACCTACAGCTAACATTTTACTGAATGGTGAAATAATGAAAACACTTTTCTCCAAGATGTCAAAGATGGGAACAAGTCAAAGATATCTACTCTCACAAAGATGTCCATTCAACAATACATGAAAGGCCCAGCCAGTGCAATAAGGAAAGAAAAAAATTAACAGTATAAAGATGGAAAGAAGTAAAACTAATTCTATTCATATGCCATTAATTATTTGTGTAGAAAATCCCAAGATATCACCAAACCAGTGAACTTAGGAATATAAAATATATTGTGTATATAATACACAATATTGAAAAAAATACTTCTATGCACAGAAGCAAACAAATGGAAGATGAAAATTTTTAAACAATTACATTTACAAGTGCCTGAAAACATGAAGTTCTTAAAAATGACTTTAACAAAAGGTGTGCAAAAACCTCTACACTAAAAGTTACAAAACAGTGTTGATAGTAATTAAAGAAAACCTTGCAATGGAAAGTATATCTTTTTAGATTCATTGCTTAGAGGTGTCAATATTATTAAGATGTCCAATTCTCCCTGAATTGACTCAAACTATAATCCTACCAGGCATTTTTAGAAATAGAAATTGACTAGCTGACTCAAAAATTTATATGATGATGCAAAGGACCCACAATAGCCCAAATAATCCTGAGACAGAAGAACAAAGCTGGTGGCCTTACAACACCTTACTTCAAGTCTTGCTATAAAGCTAGAGTGATCTGGTACTGGCATAAGGATAGGCAAAGAGATCAACACAATGGAATAGAGCCCAGTGTAAACAGTCCCACACTTACACAGTTATTTAATTTTTTGCAAAGGTGTCAAAGGAATTCAATGGGGAAGAATCTTTTCAAAATGTGATGCCACAACAATTATACTTTCATATGGGGTGAAAGGAGAAGAGGCTCAAACTACATCACATCACAGAAAAATGAACTGAGGAAATCACAGACTAAAAAGTAAAGCAAAAACTCTAAAGCTTTTAGGTGAAAACATAGGAAAATATCTTCATAATCAGTGAGTAGATGGATATTTCTTCAGCCAAACACAGCAAGCAACAGTCATAAAAGGAAAAAATTAATCAATTAGACTTCATCAAAACTAAAAGTTTCTGCTCATCTTAGGTTGAAGAAACACAATCAGGTACATTAAAAATAAGCTTTCAGATTCCTTGTATTTAACTGTACTTTGTTATCAACATATACATAAAGATAAGAATGTTACTGTTTTTAAAACCTTTTATTGAAGTGCAATAAACACAGAGAAAAGAACATGAACCATAAGTGCACAGCTCAGTGAGTCTTCACATATTAGACCCACATAACCAGCCCACAGCAAGCTCAGGAAACATTACTAGCATCCTGAAAGATCCCTTGTCTCCCCCTTCTTGGAGCTAGCTAGTAATGTCTAGCATTACTGACCAGAGGAATTCAATGGGGAATTGAATGCAACAATTCTTTAAAACTGACTAGAACACACAGAATAGTACATGTTGAAGAACTAACAGTTAATGCACAGATATCTTGTCTCAAGATTCCAGAGTATGAAAACTTATCAATTAAATGAAATGTAACTCTCAACACGGCATACTTTTGGTTAAGAATGTTCTCCATCTCACCCTTATTCTCCCCTCGTGGAGGTAATTCTTGCACGTTCTCTAAAACCTGGAACCTACCTTGACTCTCTGGTTTAGATGTATACCCTTTTCCCATTCTCTGCACATTTCAATTATAGTGTTCAGCACACTGTTCTAATTATAAGATTTATGAGTCTCTTTCCTTATCAGCACATTAAGTACTGAAGGCCAGGGACCCGGACTTGCTCTGTTTCTTTACTTCTGTTTAGTTCACATCAACATGATACACAATACACGACAGTCGGTTGAAAACCCAGTGGTACAGAATTTGTTAAATGAGTAAAATTATTTAAATTCACGTCTCTAGGTCACAATAGCCTTTACCTGTGGGTAGATAGGAAGGCTGAATGCAACAAAAGCAAGGACTATAATATATATTTTAGAATATTCTGATTAAAACCAGAAAAGACAAATTTGGACCCACAGTTTTATAACAGTAAAAACTGAAGTGAAATCTCAAGGAAGTAACACTCAGTTTAAATGAATGAATAATTATTTAGTAATATATTAACATGAAGAATATTTTCCTTTGGAATCAAAATGAGATCTAACTACCATATGGAAAGCTATGCCTCCAAAAGAAAAAGGCATGTATTTTTACATATTCAAATGTACAAATATAACAAAAAGCAAATAACATAATCTCATTTTATATTCATATGACATTAATGTCATCTTATTTAAAGAGAATTAATTTTATACAAACTAGCCTATGACTTTTATTGCACTTGATGAAATAGTGACAATAACTAGACCCTTAACTGTTTAGTACCATTTATTGGAAAAATAATACTGAACTGACTTATTCTCAAAGAAATGAATTTATATAGAAACTTTGGCCAGAACTACATGCCACCTTTCTCTTTAAAAAGTAAATATACTTTTCTATAGATAGTTGAATGAAAAACACCAACTTTCAGTGAATGTGTATATATGACAAATACAATTCAGACACCTACACAATTGACACTCATAAGTCAGTTATAGTAATGATGATAAAAAGAGCTTCACTTACTGCTATTTCTCTACATGCTGACATAGAGATCCCGGTTCCTTCTATTTGTTTTAAAGCATAGTCTTTATCATCTTTCCTGTAAAAACAAAGTTATTTTAATATACAGATAAACTAAAATTTATGTGCATTTTTAATTAAATATAAATATAAATCACATATTTAATACGCTTTTGACACCTTTCACATACAATCAAATAATCTCATATAGAGAAAAATTTTTTAGATAATGTGGTTCAATCCCATTATTTGATGAGGAAAGTTAAATTCAAAGGCCTAAAAAGACTTATCTGACTCCACAGTTATGTGCAGAAAACAAAGGTGCAGACAAGGCCCTGATCTCCAGGAATACATTCTTTCTGCTCTAATATGGACATACTTCTTCTATACAACACACATGCATATGAAGTAAAACTTGCTTTCTGAAACCCATTCAGATATTTGTGAGTCGAAAAATATTAAGAAATGAATGCAGCACTAAAGTACAAAATGGTTATAATTTAAAACAGGTTATAGCCCCCATATCCCTAAATATCTTCAAAGAGATGCAACTGAGCACAGTTACTATGTATCCAGAACTGCTCGACAGTGGGGATACAACAGCATTCCTTCATTTACAGAACTTTCGTTGTCTACTGGCCTAGGTAGATAGATAACTAGTCCACCACAACACAACGTGGCAAGTGCCATGGTAGGGAAAGTACAAGCCACAGAGGTTACCCATACTCTCCTTTGGTGGGGGAATCCCAAACAAAGACGTCTCAGAGGAAACGCCATCCAACAGAGGCCTAAATGGCAGTCCCCAAACTATGTGGACTAAGATCCTCAAGAACTTTTGTTTGTTGTATTAATATTTATTCTACTAGAATATAAACATGAGAACTTTTAAAAACATAGAATACAAAAGCACATACTCATTAGTCACCAGAGCAATGGCATCATCATGTCATGTCACCTTGAAAAAATGTACTGTACACTCACAAGAATAAAGTGGAAAAAAAACCCAAATACTATCACAGCACTATTATGAAAATAGCACTGACCTTGCAGAGCCTCTAAAAGGATTTCGGGGAAAGCTAGGGGTTCTCAGATCACTTTTGATAACTGCTGATGTAGTGTGCGTGTATTTGTATGTATCAGTTAAGAGGATGAAAACTGCAGGAAGGCATATGAGGTGAGAGAAAATCATCTGAGGAAGAACAGATACAGTAAGCAACTGGAGAGGAGGCTGGGGATATAATTAGGAACCAGGACATAAAGTCTTTTTACCCCAAGAATAACAGGAAGAACTCCACATTAAAGAATTTTTAACAAGAGAGTATCAGTTCTATTTTATTTGGGAAAAATATCTTTGGTTTTCTTTTGAATGCATACAGGGACTAAATAAAGACAGGAGGCAGGAAGGCCAGTTAAACATAAACAGTTCAGATTACCCAGGTGGGATGCTGGTGGCCACTGTGGAAGGCTGGCTGCCAGGGAGGCGAAGCAGCAGTAGCCCTGAGTCCTGGGCATATGGGAGATGAAGACTCAAAGACAACGATCTCTACCTTGGGCGACAGGCTAGTGACATTATTCACTGAAATAAGAAACACAGCAGGAGGGAGAGATCTGAGGGAAAGGGAAGAGGACAGTTCCATCCTGCACAGGTTGAGCCGCGGTACCAGTGAACCCGCAGGCAGGGATGACAGGCTGAGGGAGCACGTTTGAAACTCAAGAGAAAGCTGAAGATACCGATTTACTACAACCAGCATATATGTAGGAATCAGTCAAGAGGGTAAACGAGGTGAGACCAAACAGAAGGACAGTCAAGAAAGAGATTTTCAAAAACAGCAGAATAGTAAATAGTATCAAAAGTTGAAGAGAGTCCTCTTCTAGAAAGAAGACCAAGAAGTGTTGCCTGAATTTAGCAGCGATGAAGTACTACAAAACAGTGGACTAGGCAAAAGTAGTTGCAGTGATGTAGTGGCAGAGTCTATATTGCAGAAAGCTGAGGAATGAATGGGCCATAAGTAAACTGGGATAATATATGTAGGTAATTCTTTGAAGGGAAGAAAATAAGGCAGCTGCTGGAGTAATACACAAGGTTAAAGAATTATTATTTTGACAGAAAAGAATGGAGTCTGTTAAGTACTGACAGGAAGAAAAAACCCACAGAAAAAGGAACTGCTGATATGGGGGAGAAAAGGAAAAATTAAGAGACAAACTGAAATGCTGGTAAGAAATTAGATTCAGGGCTAGAAGGAGAAATACTTCTTCCATTGCAACAGGAAGAAAGAAGATACAGGAAAGGATAGACACAGGTGCAAAGCAGTCAGTTCAGAGGCAAAAAAGTTGGGAGAGTTCTCATTTTGATGGCTTTCATATTTTTCTGATGTGGGAAATGAGGTCATATATTAAAATAAAGACAGAGGTGGTAGAAGAGTTCAAATTCTGAAAAGAGTAAAGGTTTGTTTGAATAAATGAATAGCTCCTTAGAAAATCAATTCCTTTAAGTTCATTTAATACTTTATTTTCAATTATTATTGAAATTTACATAGCTTGATCATTGTTTTTACAACATATTTACACTAAATCCTTAGTTATAAAAAGCAAATCCCTATAATGTTTTTATGAAAAAATATTTATGACAATCAGCTTTGCAATATACTTTCTACTAAAGCACCACAGACACTCATTATGTTAAAAATATATTAAGAATATCTTTACTTAATGTTCACTAAGTGTGAACAAATTCTGAAAGACTTGAGTAAGTTAAAGAAGGTGACACAAAAATAAAATGAAATTGGGGTCAAAATAAGTCTATTAGTCACTATCATGTGTACAGAACTGATTTAGCCAGACAATTAACACAGAAGTACAACAGATTCTATTCTACCTACTGTTTGAGGATAACATCCTAGAATTGAGCCTTCTAAGGAGAAAGACAATGGTGGGAAAAAAATTAATTAAACTAAAGACATAGCCATTCACCTCCTTAATAATCACCCCTGGACTTTCTCTTACTTAAAAGTGGTCAAACTGCCATACAAATGTTTTATATTTTATAAAAGTGAACTATCCAGAAGAAAGGTAAACTGGAAGAACATAAAAAACTTCAAAAAGATGTCTGATTATCAAAAAGACAACCTGCTCTTGAAAATCACCTGATTACCAACATAACATAATAGCGCTTTGTGGTTTACTGAGCACATCTATCTCTCATGCTCTACCATATATTTATTTATCTATCATCCACATATTCACTTTTTAGTTAAAAGGTTACTGAAGAAGAAAAATTTGTTCCCTAGTTTCAGTCCTTATCCAGTTGAAGTAGTCAGATTATATTAATAAAGAATTGCCGCATAGTGTTCTAAGTACTATAAATAGAGGGTTGAAGCAATGTAAAAGGAAGTTTCAGAAAGAGTCTACTCAAGCAGAGATTCTTAAGAAGTTTGTCAGGGAAGGAGCGAGGGGTTGGGGAGAGCCATCAACAGTTACGTGATGAGACATCCCAGGAAGTAAGAACAGCAGGTACAAAACTACAGAAGCACAGAGAGGGCCTGGAACGCTCAGAGACTAACAAAGAAGAGCATGAGCAACTTTGTATCTTTGAAACATCTTGACAGTGCTGAGGACGGATGGGATTTTGGAAACAGACAGAGGCAGGATGGCAGGGGTCTTTTATGCCAGCTGTCTCCAAAGAGGGGTGCAGACTTCACTTCAAGGAGTGTACAAACCAAATGAGTATGACAAGAAAATATTACATTTAAAAATAAATAAAGCTGAACGAAGGTGTGTCATGTGAGAAGAACAAAAAGAAGAGGATGGAACCACGATGAACACTTGCCTTTGACAAACAGAAGTAAAAAACATAAAATGGCTGTAGAGGAATAGTTAAAAAAAATGAGTAGTGTTTTAGGAAAATACTGTACTGAACACACCTAAGTTCACTTCTCTCCTAAAATCCTACTAAAACTATGGAAAGGGGAATTGCTTAAAGACACAAATCATAAGGATGAAAAATGGGAAGAAGATAGCATAAAAATGTGGAAATAAGTGGACAAACAGCAGCTGAGAAAGAAGATACAAGAAAACAAAATCAGAAGTTGACAGTGAAGAAAGCTGAGAATCAATGAGATTCACACAGCAAAATGCTCCAAAAGCAGATAGCTAGGAGTACAAGATACCTCTGGAGACAGAATAACTGGATGGAAGATAAGTTGAGGAGTTATCATTGAAAATGCACCACTAAAGCCAAGTAAGAGAAGGTGAAGGAAGAATAAGAAAATTAGAGAACCAGTCCATGAGATCCAGTATACAAAAGTTAGTAGTTCCAGAAAGGATGACTAGAGAAAAGAAAGGAAGAAAATTTATACAGTAATTCAAGGAAACTTCCCAGACTGACCCGGGTTTGTAAAACTGAAAAGGTCCAATGAGTTCCCATCACAAATGGATGAAAACAGATCAACATCAAGACCCAATATTTAGACATTTCAGAAAAGTGGAGACAAGCAGATTTTACAAGCTTCCAGTGGGGATGGGTAATAGGCTACTTAGAAAGGATTAGTATTACTTAGCCACGAGAAAGAAGGAAATCCTGCCATTTGCAACAATACAGATGGACCTTGAGGGTAATATGCTAAGCGACAGAGAAAGACAAATTCTGTATGATTATCACTTATACGTAGAATCCCCAAACTCATAAAAACCAACAGTAGAATGGTAGTTACCAGGGGCTGGGGGAATTGGGAAGATGTATAATGGTCAAATTAGCAACCAGCAGGAAGTAAGTCCTGGACATCTAATGCATAGCATAGGAATTATAGACAACAATACTGTCTTATAGATTTCAAAGTTGCTAAGACATTATATCTTAATTGTTCCCACCACAAAAGAGCATGATAATTATGCAATGTGATAGCATTTATTTTAAGACAAATTTAGAGGTAATGACTCCCGCTTAGCTTTTGTTTCTCACATATTCATTTGTGAAAGACAACTCTGCTGGACAGAGCCTTCTTGGTTGGCAGTTTTTTCTTTCAGCATTGTGAATATATCATCTTTTTTCTTTTCTGACCTGTAAGACTTCTGCTAAGAAAT